TTGAAATGCCTAGCTCCTTATCGAACCCGGTGGAAGTCTAGTAGCTTCTTCAAACTATCGCCAGTCATGAAAAGATCCGGTCAAATGACACGAGTTTAGATTCTATGAACAAGGCACGAAATGGAAAAGAATCGGCGACAGGCCACATCAGGCCTACACTTCAGAGCCGACATCACTATGTTATGTTATGTTATGTTATGTACAACCTGCATGTACGTGCCGGCTTTATTTTTTGAGTGAGGCAATTTCAAATTTGTAAAAATTACCATTTGTACCATTTTGTACAACGATTTCTTCAAGGAATACATATGTTGTTTATTTGTTGTTATTTGCGTTAAACAGAACAGAAAGTCATGTGGCCCATGATAGTAGAATTAAGTGATGGGGGAAAGCTGGGGCTCCTTTATCAAGTAATATTTTTAGCGTTTATTTCATTTTTTTAATCCATATCACTTATCTGACTTTCCTGAACAATTTAAATTGTCTCATTTAAAATTGATATTCTTCTTTAGTTCTCAAGCTACAACATTGATAGTCACATCATCAGATTTGTAAAAAGAATGTCTAGCGGCTTTAGAAGCCTTTTTCTTCAATTCATCTATTGTTTAAATTATATAATACAAATTGGCGAAGGGTGGAAATAGAAAAAGTCTATTGAAAGGAAAAAGAAAAAATGGGAAAAAGGGCTCCTAGAGGAGTTCTAGATATTTGCATTCCGAATCGAATGATAAATTGATATGTTATATGAACTTTATATGACGAGATAGATTTTTAATCTATTTACCGTTTTCTATGCATTTCACGTATTCCTTCACATTCTCAAAAAATTTTACGAACAGAAAGTCTTTGTTTTCTTGTTTTACACAAGTGTGTGAAGTTTCTGAAAGATTGGCCAGTAAATACAGAACTATTTTTGAGACCCAGACGACACCCTTCAACGTAAAGTCGCTCATGAGGAAAATTACCCCTGGATTATCAATAGTTATTACTTATTAGGGATGTGTGGGAGTTTACTAAAAAGTTTGCGTACGATTCCTTTTTTTTAATTAATAACGATAATCTGGGCGAGTTATTTCTTTCTCTCATTCCATAAGCTAATGTTGACTTGGCATCAAAGATATTATTTGCATCTGTAAACTCCTTTTTTCAGTTAGTCAATTGCCCGAAAGCTATAATTATTCTACAAAAACATGGTCAATCGAGCTCGTGTTATAGCTAAGTCAAACAGACTGGAAATTCTCGATAAAATTTAATTGTTTTATTGTGCAGGCAATCTCTTTTAAAACGTGGGATTTTGATAACACTTTTTTCACTATGAAAGGGCTAATGGAATAAATCTTGTCTTATAAAACTCAGCTCGATATTTCGACTTCACAAATTTTGCCCAACAAACAAAATTTTTTCGAAATTTCATGATAACATAAAATTTAATTCATTAACAATACGCCTGAGAGACATGAAATTCTGAAAATTAAAACAAACAGAAGAAAATCAGGCAATTAGAATTACTGTAATTTGAATTCCAGTGAGTTCACTGCCAATGGAAGGAAGAAATCTCAACACTAACCTGAAGTGTATAACGAGAAAACAAATTTTACCTATTTCAAAATTATTTAAATAAATGTCTGAAGGGGACAAAAACTTCACAATAATTCATTGGTCAAATTTTACATCAGTAATAGTTTCCAAGAAAGAATATGGCAAAGAGAAATAGAATTTTTATCGAAAAAGTTTCAAGATAATTACACAATTTACAGTGTCATAAACTAAACTATTCCATTTTCTTCGTTTACACTGGACATGAACTAATGTACAAATTTTCTGTAGCAGACGGTGAAGTAAACGTGGCTGCAACACGTTTAACATTTGAACAAGTACATGTTTGTGAAGGTATATGGTTACGAGTGCGAGAAATGAGTGGCTTGAACTTGCTCAGCTTAACCATTATAGCACTGGCATACATTGATCGTTCTCAATGCTCTTCGTTTCTAATGGTATAGTAACTATCGATACCATCAGTATACTAATGGTTACCGTATATCTACTGATACACTGACCATCGTCAATACAATTCGCATCTAAAGGTATGGGTGTGTAACATCGATACCGTCAGTAGGCAATGGTCACAGGTCGGCCAATGTTTTAACACTTATAAATTCCAAAATAGAAATTGTAGGTATGTCATCCTGCACGCAAATTTTCAATCCAGAATTGGAGACAGACCAGATGAAATCCATGAAATATCATGCATATAAAAGGCAAATGAATTGATATTTCCTAAATGAAATTCCGATAAAAAAATCGAAAACTGCATTACTCATTTGAAGTCGCAAGCATGAGCGAAAAGGAGTATAGCAACTGACAGGCTAAGCACAGTTGTCGTTTCAGGAACTTTTTAACCGTTTAAAAGGAATTGGCCGATTTTTAATCATCATAATTATTAACCCCTTGGTTGCGTTCCGTCGTTAGAATTTTTTATGAGAGTTTTTTTTTTTCGTTCATCCACATGCGGTCGAACGTTTTTAAGCATCCATTTCAAAATGAAATTTTCATGAAAAATTTCACACACAATCATCACTGTAGAGAATCAATAGGTGATAGTTGCATCCGGTTTTTCGAACATGGCTGAATTAACAACTTAAATTTATGATTACAGCGGAATAAATTTAAAAAGTATGTATAATACGAGATAATTTTGGCAGTGAAATTTTGAGAGGTGAATAATGCACCACATAAACCTGAGGCTGTGTGCAATAAAGATGAGCTCGGTAACATTTGATCAACGAAACAACTCTTTATGTTTCACTCATTCTTCTGAACGTAGATTTTCAATTCAAAACAGTTCTTAACAGCGAACACACGCTTGAAATTCCGGACACTCGTGAAAAACTCTTAGCTTAAGCTTTGATCTTAAAATGCATGTTCAGGCAATATTGGCTAACACAATTACCTAATTAATGACAGGCAGGCTGAGATAAAATGTATAATTATAAAACGTTCGTTGTGACTAAAGATTTCGGCTAGAATTTTGATAAATAGTTGCGGGTTTTGAACCACAAAATCATTACTCCAATCATACAGATCTAAATCTCTCGGCCACCCTTATCATAAATAATAACCATAATAATAATAATGATAAATTATGATCATGATCATAGTTCAAACTTCATGCGGAGGGCATCCTATTCTCGAGTAGGACTAAAAAATTTAATGTAAAGTAATAAATGGCCTTCATACAACACATAGAGTAGACGAAGCATATTTACTGCCATGGCTGACACGCTTCGTGCCTGTCAGACGGACTTGAAATACTTAAACTCATCTGTTTAACCTTTGAGAACTTGCAACATCATCGAAACTTATCTTTGCAGTAATTTTAACATCAGAAATAGAAATAGCCCAAATAATTAACATTTGGATTTGTAAATTGCACTGCAATTTACAAAATATTTTCTATATCTCGCTGCTCAGATACTTCTATCGTCCATTAATTTAATTATTTTATATTTAATTTAGACTTGCAATGTCAAAAACACATGCGCTAGTGAGTTTTGGTGTAACAATATTCATGCTCTTCTAAATCTTCACTAATGTTATAAAATCATATTCCCTTCAATTGTTATACATGTCAACTGATACATAATGTCATCATCATTATATAAACCCAACTAGTATCTTACTTTCCCAACAGAGGCCCTGAAATGAAAATAATTCAACCTCATTAGAAAACGATTAGAGATTAATTAATTAATCAGTGGATGTGCGTGTAAAACGAACTTGTTGAAAATTCATTTCAAAAGCACCATCGAGAATGTAGATCCTATAATAGGAGACTAAAATATTATTAACAGGACTTCCGTGGTGAGGAAAAATTCCTCAGCAAACTAAACCTTAAGCTAATGCAAGTAGAGTGTCGGTATAAAAGTGTTGACACGAAGTAAATAGTATTTGTACAGGCAGGTATTCTGCGGACGTAATATTCTTAACAAAACTATGCACAATGAAACGCTGATCGCTTTTTCTATAGTCCCAGCTGAATTACAAATTATTATATGACATATTCAGAATTTTTTATATTTAACGCGTCATACAGGCTATATTCACACATTATTCACTTTCGTCATTAACCAGCTCTCATGATTAAATTTTTTTGTACAAAACTATTAAATCGTTTCAGCTTCTCCGACTGGAGATTTTGTACTTTGTGACTGTAGAAAATGTTATTGTAATTATAGGAAAATATGCCATGGAAAGTTCCAATAAATGTACGAGTAATTCATCTTGAAATAAACAAGCATCAGTCTTTTCTGATTTTGATTCCTGGTTCTCTGGCAAAGGATTTACAAAACTTAATGATTCTTTTGGTATGAATTGCGCACCAAAGCGAGATCAATTTTATTCTTCCCGTCAATCCTGAGCTCTTCCTCATGTAAACCATTCAAGGCTCCCGCTTACTAGAATAATTATCTCTCAGGTACATTTATCTTTCCATCAAGAACTCTCCAAAATAACATTTCAATCCTGCGCTGCGTTCATTGTAAATTCAGCGTTCATTCCTTATTCTTGATTCCAGGCCTTCTCAAGCTAAACCAGCCTACTAACATTTTAGTAAAAAATTAATCTATGAACTCGTTTTTCCCTATCAAATATTTACAATTGAATCTTAATTCGTAAGCACAATGTTTCATAAGATCCCGCAGCGGGTGCTCGCTATGACACAGTTCCCTCCCACACACATTCAGAAAAATGAATGGGTCATATTGTCAAAATAGTGACTCGCCTCCTTACCCACAAGACGGGCAGAGAGCGGACGCAACACTGATATGCCCTTTTTCCGGGCCAGACGAGGTCCGGATTACCCACACAAGGGGTATATCCTCCCAGGCGGGGAATCGAACCCCGGTCTCCCGCGTGACAGGCGGGGATATTTAGTATAAGTGCATCGCTATTTGGACACAATCCCACTAATTTCTCTGAATGTAGTCTATGTATCAGATTGACTGTCATAATCCGAGTGTCCGCCAATATTCATGTTCTGCATGCTTGGTGGTAAGTTCGACGTCTCAATTATGGACGTATCGAGCGACGTGTGTAAGGCTCGGCCGTGCGTGGATTGCAGCGTCTTGCGCACGGTCTGCGTTAGGTGCGCGGGCGCGTCTAGCGACGTGTGTAAACTGACGCACACGTTGCGGTTGACGCTCACGGCAGGGAATAGGGGACCTTCGATGTCGGAAAAAGCTACGTCGCCCTGCACAATAAAAGTGAAGTCGAACATAGTCATCTTTTTGTATACTGACACTACAGTAATAATAGTTAAGACTTTTGATTGATTTATGTTTTAAATTTTAATGTAGTTTAGTTTGTCTAGACGTCTAATAGAGTGATATGTAGGGTAACCTGCTGCTCATTAATTAACGTAGAAGGATGTGGAGGTTTACTTGCTGTTTATAATTAACATAGAAGGATATAGAAGCTTACCTGCTGCTCATAATTAACATAGAAGGATATAGAAGCTTACCTGCTGCTCATAATTAACATAGAAGGATATAGAAGCTTACCTGCTGCTCATAATTAACATAGAAGGATATAGAAGCTGACCTGCTGTTCATAATTAACATAGAAAGATATAGAAGCTTACCTGCTGCTCATAATTAACATAGAAGGATATAGAAGCTTACCTGCTGCTCATAATTAACATAGAAGGATATAGAAGCCTTCTGCTGGCGCCACTCGAGCAGGACGCCCACGATGGCCCCCACGCCCCCTATGCCGCCCTCGCAGCGCCCGTGGTGCGTCGACCCGTGCAGGAACCACGACCGCTGGTGGTCGATATACATCGCCCAGCCGTACTCGTCGTTACCTGAGAGCGTTACTTCGGTCATTATTACTTCTTCGGTATACGTGCTCATCGTAAGCTGAAAGCGTTACTTCGGTCATTATTACTTCTTAGTTATACCTGCTCATCGTAAGCTGAAAGCGTTACTTCGGTCATTATAACTTTTTCGTTGTACGTGCTCATCGTAAGCTTAGCTTTCTGTACTCATCGTGACACGTAAGCGTTACTTCAACTGTCGTGATTTCTAGACTATCCGCTGTTGAAGTCACTTGACTTCATTATTTCAATTCTCATTACTTCTTCTGCTTTAATCCTTATAATTAATTTGTTAAATATAACTATGGTGAATACGTATAGGGTGAAATATAATAACTATAACTATAATACGTGGTTTAACATCTACATCAGTTGCTATTTCATCAATGACTTGCATCATATTGTGTTGATTGCTATCATCAAGACATCTCACCGAGCATGACTTCTTTGTTGACTTGCTTCCTGACGACGCCGAACGCAACGTCGGCGTTAGCGTCGTACGCGTCTATCCTGAACTGCCAGTAGTGGCGGCCGCGGGAGAAGCCAACGCCAGACGCCGCCACTCTGAGGGGTTTTATTAATTAATAACTGAGTTTATTAATAATTCAATCAACAAGAAATGGAGGGAACAATTGGAACACTCAATTAATGATTAATTGAAGTTGGAGGAGGGATCGTGCTGAAAACAGAACGAGAGGCAGAGTTTATTGCTAATTCATTTGAGAAAAAAGTAGTATTTGGAAGACAGCATTACTGATTATTTGAACATAAGCTAATCGAGCTAACAAGGGGAAGACTTCATTACTTAAAGGGGAAGAAACAGAGGGGAGAGGCGGCCTAAATGTGATGATTTAAACTAAAGTAATGAGATCAGTAGAGGTGTGTTGTGGCACAAAATCAACGTATGGAACTTCTGCGTGATGTCACCTGTGCTCGTAGCTGTCACACGTGACGGTGGCGCCCTGGTCTGATATCGCGCAGTCAGGGTGTGACAGCGACCTGATCAGCGGGAACCACGCGCCTGCCGGAGAACAGGAGCATCATTGCATGGTTCACTGGGGCGGTGACACTTAATAATCCCCTTGACCAGGGTGGTACAAAACAATGATCCGGTTGACTAGGGAGGTTCAACCGAATAATCCGGTTCCAAAAAAAGCGGATTAAACAAAATAATTCTGTTCAACACGATTATCCCGTTCAACAGGGTAATGCGGTTCAACAAGATTATCCCGTTCAACAGGATAATGCGGTTCAACAATATAGCTCGGTTCTAAAGCAGTGAACATTGCTTGAACATTGCAAAAAGCAGTGAACATTGCAAAACATTATTTTTGTTTGATAAAATTGTGACAGAAGAAAGCATATTATTGTAGTATAAAATATTTGGTATAAATGCCTTTGTCTTACGTAAGTTTTAATTCATGTTTGTATATGATATTCTGACAATATTTTTACTCTGACTTTTTGAATGCACAAAAATATTGCTTTTAAATCAAGTTTAATCTGAGTTTCATTGTTTTATGTTGCTGCTATACCTGGCGCAGTTCTGATGGCAATAGGCACGCTGTACGGGGAGTCGCCTGAAGCGTTGGAAGCTTTAACTCTCAGGGTGTAAACTGTGTTGAACTGCAGGCCTTCAACTGAACAAACTGTCTCGGGCCCGCGGTGAACTTCCTGTCAACATTCATGACTACATTCATTAAACTGTGTTGAATGTGCCTCGGCAACTGTGATGTCAAGAAACATTATTTATTGAAAATTAAGACACGTTTCAGATCGAATTTAACTGAGGTGAACGAAACCTCGAATAGAACAACTGTCGAACTTTGTACTTATTTATTAATAAGTTGTACGCTGATTAATGATGAAAATATTATTGACTTATTTGCAGCGACTTCTTTTTGGCCTTATTGTCTTTAAATGAACCCTGGCTACTTAGTACCAGGTGGATCTCAAGGTCTCAAGGTCTAAGGTCTACATTAAAAACTATTTTCTTATTGCCTAGTTCAAGTCAAACAATAATTTATCAAGACTCAGAGGATTATGATAACTTATGTGAACTTTCCTATTTCTGTCCATAAAATGTCGTTATAAATTCTGTCCATAAAAAGTGATAAATTCTGTCCATCCCGAAAACTATTAGTCCTTCTGTCCATGACGAACTGACCGTGAACTGTCCTCCGCCTCTGTCCATCTCGAGGGTGAAAGTGTCCGCCCTGGAGGTGGCGTGGGGTGTCCATACGACCGTAAGTCTGTCGCTCTCACCGCTGCACTCGCCGCTGCTGAACTGCGGCGCTGAACACACTGCCCGGGAATATTTGTGTTTATTGGTTGCATTTGTGTTTATTGGTTGCATTTGTGTTTATTGGTTGAATTTGTGTTGATTGGTTGAATTTGTGTTTATTGTTATTGGTTGAATTTGTCCACCCGCTGTCTCTTATACACATCTAGATGTGTATAAGAGACAGGTCAGGAGTTGTGCGATAATCTGTTTAGCCAGGAGTTGTGCGATAATCTGTTTAGCCTGGAGTTAGTTAGTTAGTTTAGTGGCCACATGTTTACTAGCGCTTCAGCTATTTAGCTATATCGCACCGAAAGTCATGTTGAACATCACCAAAGAGGTGGGAGGTCTCAATTATCAAAAGTTTCTCAAATCAAAAATAGGTCATCGCCCACAAGGGGCGGAAGGTCTCGTATGTCCAGCCCGCTGAAGCTGGCTCGAAGGAAGCAGCGTTAGCATCTCAAAAGAGACGAAGTGACAAGGAGGGACAGGTGAAAAGCAACAGAAACGAAGACACTCGAACAAGAGGTCGCTTACACGGGACGTCGGCCGCCCGCACGAGAGAGACAGAGAAGGGAAATTTAAGGAATCCTACCTACAAAATAACTTAACCCCACAACTGAGACCTACAGTCAGACACCGCGAGCTCAACGGTGGGGCGCTCAGGAACAATCCCCCTAGGAACGCGAAATCCCATAGGACTTCTGACGAGCACAGACACGCGTCAGAAGTCCCCCCTGAGGGGTTAGCCTGGAGTTGTGCGACACCCATGTATATATGTACTCGATCTAAATCTTTCGTTTGTATTTTCATTTGTTCTTATGTGCGGTATTTGTCCCGCAGTTTTACAAAGAAGAATAAGGAAACACAGAATGACTATTTTCCTTATCATTGTTCCTGCCTGGCTCGATGAGGTGGCCGTTTGAAATTTAGCCAGGACATGAATACTAGAGTAAAATATAGACTTGGGGATATAGAGACGGACTGGGTGAGAGCAGGAGAGGTGTACGACAAGGCTGTATCCTGTATCCGCTTCTCTTCAACCTCTACACAGAAGAGATGGCCACGAGGGTGAGGAGAATGGATGTTGGTGTGCGTGTGGGCGGCGAAAGGTTAAGAATGCTTCTGTATGCTGATGATGCTGTGATTAAGAGTGGAAATAGCGAAGAATTACAAAGTATGCTGGACTGTGTGACTGAGTATGGGAGGGACTTTAATGTGCGATTCAGTGCGGAGAAGAGCCAAGTGATCCGATCCATTCACAAGTTGTGAATGGATCGGTTGAAGATATAAGCAGAGTGTGGATGTTGGGTGGGAATGGGATTGTTAGGACAAATGAGTTAAGGTACTTAGGGATGTGTGTGGACCAGGAGCGTCCACGAATCGGGCGCTTAATTGCACTGATAATTATTTTAAACGAACTAACAGTAATAATACCAAGTATATTAATATCTTTAAGAAACCGTTCAAAAAGCAATGGGTGTCTCCCTCCAATTCCGATTTGTACGTCGACGTTGCTAAGGCAATCGGTAGGCCACCGACTAACTTCTAGCTATAAATTGGACTAGTAGAATGAAATAAGTTCAATTCTCTCTTTATATTGGACAATACCACAATAAATTGTTCAATCTTGCTACGGATACAGTTTACAGTAATTTAGCAACTGCTGCAATGGTAGCATACTCAATTATAATATACTACACGTAGGGTAACAGTCCTGTTAAGTTCTTTATCAATTGTCGCTGCAAGGTTTAAATTTACTCCTATTATCTTTTATTTACTCCTATTTTTATCTTTGTCATGTGATAACAGAATCAGCTAAAAATGTGTAATAACTACGGTATTTCGGTTTCATTTGCAATGAAACCTAATTTTTGGCGCGAAGTGCGCAAAAACTTGAACTCGCTGATTCCATGATCTCGTGACAATGATTAACAGGAGTAGTAAGATGTAAAATTTATAGCTGAATTCAAACCTCGTGCTGCGACAATCGATTTAACCTGCACCAACATAACAAATATGTCAGCATTCGTGCATATGATAATCATGTTTGACTATATTGCTTCCTACTTTGAGGCATAGTTTCTCAAAAATAGTTCCTTGTCATTTTCACATGTGTATTAATGGCAGGGAATATTTCCATCGCGTCAAGTGTCCTGAAATTCTACAAACAATTGCACTTTACACATTACTGCAATCAAACTGACGCAATTTATCGTACAATTTCGAGTTTAATTCAAACTAAATGGAATTATCAAATTTCAGAAATTGTGGACGGCACAATTTACGCTGGCTATTAAATAAACAATTCCGCGCGTCCACTTTGCCCAGCAGTTTCGTCGCGCTCGGAGACAGGCGAAGAACTGTTCTTCGAGTAGACAACCAACATTACATGAAACATTTTGAACCCCAAATCATGAAATTAACGGCTTAGAATGATTCCATTCGTCGCCTCACAAGCTGGTCTTACAACTAAGAATACATTGGAGAGAGCAATAATAAAATACATACAAGTGCGCGACCGAAAAACGCTTATTTTCATATCTGCGACGAATCAGGCTATGCTACAAGTCAGATGATGATCTTGTATTACTGCGAATATGCGTATTAATGCGAATTTGATCCCAATGATGAAATTCTAGTCTTCCATGGGTTTTTGAAGGCTCACAGACAAATTAAGTCGATCACCAAGGAGAAAAGACATGCTACTGGAAATAGTTATGCCCGTACCCTGCATTAAAACAAGTCGAAGACTGAAGAAAGCAGTATTGAGTGCAAGTGTTGAGAGATAACAGGCAAAAGCGTGAATTAATAAAAATTTTTAAATTTACGTGATTGTAGTTTCCATGACTACCTCGGGTGATTACATCTCGGTTTCTCACTACTCATTTGCGCAACAGAAAACGTCGCAGCATATCCATGCTACATCGCATTTATCCGCACACAAATAACTTCTGGAAAAATCGTCAGGTTACCACAAAACCTCCCGAGCAACACCAGGCCGCCGTGCAAGCTTCATATACAACAAGAGTTCAACAATTCACGACGGCAAAAAAAAATTAGAAATTAGGCAGCAATACATAGAAGACTAAAACGATCCATGGTCTCTACAAAACGTAAATTAGGATAACATCGGATTAAATGAAACTATTTAATTATCTAAATAAAACTATAAAATAATTCTTCATGTAGAACTTCGAACATTAGACAACAGGGACACAATTTAGCATCAACATTTCGACTTCCTAAACACAACACCGATGATGTACTGCGTTTGAACTTTTTCATTAATTTTTTGTCAATATCCAATATACAAATGTGGCATAGAGTCTAGATAAATATACTAGTAACAATTTAGTTATAAATTTGTACTTTTAAGGCCAATTACTAAGTGTCTTCGCAGCACCTGCTTCCAAATCCAGCGTGACAAATCTCTCAATACTTCATACTTTATTGTGCTTAGTTTTGGTAACATAGCTGTTTTATTTCTTCGATAAACAACTCCTGCAGGTATTTGGGTCAGCCGCAATCCTCTTCATAACCTCGTACTGACGCTGAACCTTCTCAAATAACAACTTCAACCTCTCATTTCTATTGGACTCCGCAACTAAATCGCTCTTCATTTGTTCCAACATGTTCTTCTTTTTGAGACGTGATTTCTTCGAAGCTATGTTGTTTGCTTCCTTGTTCCTGCGATATTTTTGTGCATCTATTTCACGTTGCTTGCCGCGCGGTAGTCTACTGAACCCAACGAACGCGCTGTCTCTGGCTCCTGCAGAGCGTCTGTGCTTGCCGCTATAACTGCGCGGTGAAACATGGAACTCTTCATCTTCGCTGTCCTCACTCTCATCTTCGCGGTCTGAAAGCATGCTTATGTCAATGGAAGCGTGCCCATTGTTCCCAGAAAGGTTGCTCGAAGAAAGACCAAGGATTGCCGCATCTTGTGGAGACTCGCCGTCTGACGTGGTTATGTCAATGGTGGCGCGGCCATCGCTCCAGAAGTTGTTTCTCGAAGAAGGACCCGGGATTGCTGCATCTGGTAGACGCTCGATATGATGGGACGGGCCAGCGATGCTATCAGACGGAATATTGCAAAAAACTTGCAAGGTATTGTCATTAATGGTTTCAGAAGGAATATTTCCTTGATTAAACGATTGTGATTCACTTGAACTTGAGGTAATACCTGAACTTGCGTTGCACTGTTGACCGACAGATGGGTCGGACAAATGGATGAATTTATCAGCAGGAATTATTATGACACTGTTGTTATGACGCACCAAATTTTGGACTGAGATACCGGGATGACGTACCAAATTTCGGACTGGAGTGCTGTGATGACGCACCGAGTTTTGTACTGGGGTGCTGGGATGACGTACCGAAACTTGTACTGGGGTGCTGGGATGACGTACCGAAATTTGGACTGGGGTGCTGGGATGACGTACCGAAACTTGGACTGGGGTGCTGGGATGAAGTACCGAAACTTGGACTGGGGTGCTGGGATGAAGTACCGAGTTTTGTACTGGCATGTTCTGATGAGGTACCGAATTCAAGACTTGTATGCTGTGATGACGCACTGAATTTTGGGTGGAGACGCTTGGATAACGAACTGAGTGTTGTGATGTGATGTTGGGGTTACGTAGAGGAAATGGAGCCCCCATGACGGTGTTACGACAGTAACTATTATTATTCAAGCGCACTTTCTTCAGTTTGAGTTCTGGAATGCTTTGAGGAGCCAGCCTCTTGAGAGGCTTCTGAGCTGCGCGGGCTCCACCGTGTCGAGGCATGGAACAGCTTCTTATTACCGACACCTTGATGGTAGGCTTTGTGTGTTGCTGAAGTTCGTTCTGAAACCAATAACAAATTAGGACTAGAAAGATCATTTACAAAGTAAGCTAAAATAGTAATATAAATGTTTCTTTTTTTTTAAATACGAAAAGCAATTACGGTACTACAATTTAGTAAAAGTGTATTGCGAAGTGCACACATTTATGGTTTATTGTTTGTGCTATAGTAATTTGGTGTTTCACCTGGCGTATTTTCGCGTGCGTGAATGATTCGACAAGAAAACGGTTATCAGCACTGAACGTTACTCACCTTAGTTTGTATGTTGAAGGAAGGATCAAATTCTATATGGAGAGGTGTAGGGTTGACAGGAGTTGGAAGTGAAGATGACTCATTGGCAACGCCACTCTGGTTTGCGTGCGTCACTGGGTTGAACTGCTCCAGCAATAAATTAGACATTTTTCCGGGGTTAACTGAGGGTTTTATTTCAGGGGCGGGATTATTCGACATTTGAGTCAATTCCGACTCAAGGGAAGGATTTAAATCGCGATCAACAGATGTGAAGGCACAAAAATCTGTAGATTTTAGCATCAAATCAGACTGTTTTTGCGTGAGCATGCGTGATTCAACTGCGTCATTTGCTTCAAATTTAGATTTCAAATTTTCAGTAATCTGTGCAGAATTCGCCAGCGTAGGCACCGTAAAGAGTTGCAGAGGCTCACAGGTTGCATTGATGATAGCCGAATGGTCCAGATCACCAGGAGAACGTTCCAGATTAATTTTTAAAGAATCTTCTGCACTCCCCAACAACATCCCTGGTTCCTCTGAAGTGCAGAGCAGTTCCATATGGTCCAAATCCGTGGGTGTGTCTGGCAACTTGTAGGAAATACTCATATCCAGCGCACTGATAGAATCATCATTTATCTCATCAACGAAGCGATTGAAATCAGCGTCATCCATTAAGTCGTTTGCCTGCGGATGGTCAAGTGTAACTTTGTCAGCAGGAAGCTCAACACCTGAGTCTTCTGGTCCTGTGTCCAGTGTTGCTGATTGATGACAAGGTACCATCTCGGCCAAACTAGAACTGAAATTCAGATCATTGCAATAGCTCTCAGGCTTATTATTGCAATCAGTGGGTGCATAGAGCGTTCGGCTTTCATTGCGGTTACCAGCGGAATCCAAGCCCATGTAAGGACAATGATTGCGATCAGCATTGACTGGTTTAACATTATCTTGAAGGGAGAAAGGGAATTCACATTTGGGGGTTGTGGTCCCCATTATTCCGCAGTTGACGTTTTCTGTTCCGTTCGAGGTTGAATCTTGACACAACGATACAATATTTGAAGCACATGATGTCGCGGAAGAAGTCTCGTTCTCAATACCGCCAAATGTTTTGTGGTCAAAAGGTAAAATCTCGTCCATATCCGTAAATAATTCATTGTCGAGATTAAGATCCCTGCTCGCCGGGAAATCGAACATTTCTCGGACTGAAAGAGAACATGAATGAAATAAGAATGAAGAACTCCATGAAACAAAAAATTTAGAGATTGCTAAGATATGAAAGCAAAACCCTTCATTTACAGATATAAATTAAGTTCACATAAACAAAATGGAATACAAATTTTCAGATGACAATTTGTCAAAATTTTAGTCAATATTCAGCATCCCTACGGACAATTGAATATTCTAACTTCGTATACTTATATTAGTAAAAATATGTGGATTGGATTCTACAATACTTAATAATTGTACAAGATACTTGAATCATCTACTAACAATTAATAGATGGAATAGCTCGTCGTCAAAACCTGATGCTGATATGTCCATAAAATTAGGTAACAAATCAAAAACGTATTAGAGTAGCTGCCTCTGTACATGACTCTGCTGATGTGTTCCAATAATGCCAGATAACGAATATATAGAATAGCTTTTAGCGCATCGGTTCGATAGTTCCAACAATTCTGTAAAAATTTCTGCAGCCATTAACTTGAGAACTGTACTGTTGGCAAGAATCTATGAACGACGAACGAATTGCACAGTCGTGAAGGAAAACAATAATAATTCCTGAGCATAAATGGAAATTTGAAGCTTTGCTCGATATATCAAAAGATATTCAAATGAGATTCTACCCTCCATCTCGACGCCGTGTGAGGTATATAATGTAGAATAATGTGCATTACGTACCCACATCTGGAGTATTGAGTTCGTCACACTGAAAATGTTCAGCTAATGGTGCACGAGTTGCAATTTGACTATGAGAGGAGATGTTGATGCCGCTGACTCCTGACATGCTGCTCCCAAGAATTGGGTCCTGAAAAATTAAGAAACTTTCATAGCTCAGCTAACAAAAATTTGAACAAAGTTTAGGCAATTTATTCGACCTATACTTTGTTGATAAGGATAACAGAACTTGATCACATAACCAGACACGTTCGAGAAAACAAACTCATCCAAGTAATAAAATACCCTTTTTAACCATTATGCTAAAAGAAAAAATGTACATACAGGGAAATGGCGAGTTCAAGAAAAAAACATTAACATTACCGTATCTAGAAGTAAAATACAGAAAGCCTGAAATGAGCAAACCTAATGTGACGTAAGCATTTTTGGAAAAGTATAGGTTCAAGTGAGCAACTGCACAAAAATATTCAAAATAAGCTTCGTCAGGAAAGAGAACAATGAAATTCCCGAGAAAATCTACAGAAAAGATTCGCATGCATTGAATTCCGAGTAGAGGCATAACCTTAATATCCAGCTCATGCCGGCCAAAGAAATGCCAAATGAATAGTGAATGAAGGAGGAGGGGTCACAGTATTTTCTCCTAAGTTATTAACATCATGTCGTCCTCTGGTACTTAATGCTTATCAACGTTGCATCTAGTACCTTACTCTTAAACTCATGCCGGCCAACAAAGTACACCCCAAATCACCAGTGACTGAGTGAGGGGCGACATCGCAACACCAGCTCCCAGCGAAGTGTCGGCCGCGTTCGTAGGGCGGCAGATCTGGTAGGACCGGAGGGTCTCCGTCGCACTGGAGCGGTTCTCCGTCAGGGAAGAACCCGGGTATACGTGAGCCATTGTGGAAACTAGCGGACAGCTGCTGGTTCCTAAGTGATCGATACATCGCTGGGTCTGAAATATAAAAATAATCATTGATAAAAAATATTATGACGTTTATAAAGAGTAGCCTTGCATGGGTGGACGTAATTAAGGCTTACCAGTCCGGTAAATAATGTTTAGAAATTATGAACACAGAAACCGAAGCTTGTGACGTGTAGTTGATAGTCTCGCTAATAGTATTTTCTAACTAATGAAGCTGAATTTTTCCAAAGATCTGAAGGTGAATTATTCAATATCAGTTCGTGGCATAATCAATGCTCAAATTCTAATCTATATCTGGCCGCAGGTATAACTATTAAATCACCAACTCATAATGACGAATGTGCAATTGATCCAAATCATCCAATAATTAATATTATGCAACTGCAGGAATAACATTTTTAGAATCATTTTTAAACTGATATGATTAAAAATTTAAAAGCAAAGAATAGTCCACAAAAATTCATATCTTTATAGAAAACGTTTCGGAGTCCAGCTCCATCGTCAGTTCGTAGAATCTAGAATATGCATAGAAAGTCACAAGTTAATACAATTGAAAGCACAGAACACAATTAGAACCTAAATTTACAAGTAATAGGGCAAAAAACCTATCTATTCACAATTTCAAGGGGATAGGAGCTCACAGCTGAATTTAAACTGGGCCTAAGCTTAAAAATGTACAATGATTCTAAGATACGCTAATCTGAAGTACCGGAGGTAGAAGCTAACACCCTAAAGTCACTGTCAGAAACAGGCACATCACACTGCTCAGCGTGAGTGCGCACAGCCGAATGAGGGGGGCGCGATAGCAACTGTCCGGTCCTACAACTCCTGCCCTTATGCTCAGCGATCCTGGAATAAAGATTACGTGAAGTCATACCGACGTACGCAGATGCACATTGTGCACAACGAAATTGATAAACCAGGGACGATCGCATATGAACAGGGAGCATATCTTTATATCTAAAGAAAGAACCGATTTTGAAATTGTTAACCAGAACAATATACGCATTTGCTCAACATACCAGGCTATGCATGCTGAATTTGAATTTTTAAGAAATATTTTCTCGCTCAATGGATTTCCGGCAAGTTTGGTGTATACCCAAATCAAGAAATTTATGTCGAAGCGATTCAGTGAGGTTGCTCCCGAGCGCGATAGTAGGAACGTTATTTTTTGTTCTTTTCCATACTTCGGCCCTGCGTCCGAAGCTATGTCAAGAGAATTAAAAGTCTTCTTCAATAGATACTTTCCAAGCGTTAAACTCTATATTGTTCTGGTTAACAATTTCAAAATCGGTTCTTTCTTTAGATATAAAGATATGCTCCCTGTTCATATGCGATCGTCCCTGGTTTATCAATTTCGTTGTGCACAATGTGCATCTGCGTACGTCGGTATGACTTCACGTAATCTTTATTCCAGGATCGCTGAGCATAAGGGCAGGAGTTGTAGGACCGGACAGTTGCTATCGCGCCCCCCTCATTCGGCTGTGCGCACTCACGCCGAGCAGTGTGATGTGCCTGTTTCTGACAGTGACTTTAGGGTGTTAGCTTCTACCTCCGGTACTTCAGATTTGCGTATCTTAGAATCATTGTACATTTTTAAGCTTAGGCCCAGTTTAAATTCAGCTGTGAGCTCCTATCCCCTTGAAATTGTGAATAGATAGGTTTTTTGCCCTATTACGTGTAAATTTAGGTTCTAATTGTGTTCTGTGCTTTCAATTGTATTAACTTTTGACTTTCTATGCATGTTCTAGATTCTACGAACTGACGATGGAGCTGGACTCCGAAACGTTTTCTATAAAGATATGAATTTTTGTGGACTATTCTTTGCTTTTAAATTTTTAGTCAACTTGCGATTTAAGCAAATAAGTGACATTAATACTTCAACTGATATGATATTCTACAAATACGAAATAATACGAGATCCAGTCTTGATATATAGTTCATAGTGAGTTTCTTCTCTGCAACCCTCGTAGAATCTATTGGACGTGCATTTAAAATTTAGAATACGCGATCGGTCGTGCCAGGAACTTCTTGCCCAAAATATAGTCAAACGAAAAACTCTGCATAAAAGAATCTCCAAAGGTTCTAAATTTCAGAAAAAAATAGGCAAGTTCAAGGACTGCAGATAACACGATGCAATTAGTAAATTTTCAAGGTTTAGATAACGCTGGGAAGTTGTGTTTAAACGTACAGTTGGCAAATTACACTTATGATGGCAGATGAATAGCAAGTGAAGATAAGCTTGTAAAATTTGTGTTATGTTTCATGCATTACGGTAACTTGACTTTTTAAAATCAATTACGAGGTTTAGATAGTCAGGTAGCTCCTGAAAACTTCGATCGCGTCTCAAGTTTGCAGAAGGCAATCACGCCAGTGATTACCCCAAACTAGGGCGAATTATCCCCTGGTATGAAAAAATAAATTTTTAGGGGCCAATAAACAGGGGGCATATTAATCTTTAAAAAAATGACATGATTATTGAGGCGAGTTTAATCTGTAAACGTGGGAACAAGAAGAAAAGTTTAAGAAGCAGTTGTCACAGCAGTGTATTTTTTCTATCCTCAGTCTTAATTTTCTGTCCATTGTTAAGTTGGACTATTGTGAACGTATTTCAGCTGTGCAACTGGGACATATGTAAATATATTAAAATAAGTTTTCATGAAAATAATGAATTCATTGTTGCTCATCTCCACATAAGTCCTTCATGTTAGCTGACACTAGATTGTTAGTGTCGCTTGAGAGGCATTAGTACCTTTCATTTACATTAGACAGGTAGGTTTTAGTGTGGAGCCTGAGAGCGCCGCTACCGGGAATGCGGTGTCATGGTGATGACGGTTCTAAACAAGCTAAAAGTCAATTTATTGATTGTCTGCGTGGACCGCTCGTCACCCGTTCACTTTTATTTATCACGATGTCTATACAATTCCCTGACAAATACAAACTGAAAACAACAGCAAAATTTTGAAGTTAGCCTCAACCAAGATTAAATTTGGCGCATGAACATCAACAGTTGTTTTTAGATGACAGCAGAACGGGTTATTATGAGCAATAGAAGTAGATGAATCTTTTACATTTAGACTATTAGGTACCCCATTGTTATAAGAAAATAGGCAATAGTTTATTGTAGTATATAGATGCCAATTACCATTCCTATAATTATGTGCTCATTATTGGTGACCCAAACAAAAGCATACCTGAAGACAGCAATAGAAGTTAATGTTATTTGTATTAAATTATCCCTAATATGCACTAAATTATTCAAAAAATGCATCGTTTCCCAGGAAAATTGTTGGCAAAATTGAACTCTATCAACTCCACATACAATAAATTAGGATGAAACATATTTGATATCTTATCCAATTTATATCCCTAGATACAGGATATAGGTATATTATGTACCGTACCATTATAAATATTTTGGAAAAAATAACAGAGCAATAGAATGAATTACTATGGCCTAAGGTAATTTCAAATTGAAGACATTAGAAAATATCAATGCATTTTTTAAATAAAAACTTAAGCCCACAAAATGATCTATATTAGTTAATGAGATACGTACGTACCAGGCAAAAAAAATTTATGCGAGTATATAATTTAAGCAAAATGGTAAGAGAAAAAATGCAATAATAACCTATCAAGATAAAAATAAATTAAAACAAAATCTTCAGTTGAATTGAAGCAAAATGAGTAAAAAATATCAACTTTTTTCATATTCAAGGCTTTAATAAATCCTTTCCAGAATATTTGGATGTGGAATTTTTTCACTTTGTCATCTTTTCAATTCAATATACTAGTTAGGGGGTATGAGAAACTGTTCAAATTGGTAAATATAAGCCAGTTACATCAATTATCTTCATTGCTTTATTTAATAGTAAAGGTATGGTAATGATGGTTACTACTGTTTTAGTTTTGAGTTAGACAGTTTAATGAGAGTTACTGGTAATAAGAGTTGTAGGAGTTCAACTTGATAAAAAATTCATCCATCATCAATACTATTTTAAGCAAAGGCCTGGTATTAATTATCACTAAAAAAAGGAGTATGTAAATGGGAAATAGTACCTTATATGTTGCAACTCACATTTGGTAGTTGATCTTCAACTGGAGAATGAATGGTGCTGGCTTTGCGGCTCTCACTGGTGATGATTTGACACCACACAACACCCGGGACTGTCAATTACCTGAAAAGATGCGTTTTTACATATTTGTAGACAAAGAATTACAACTAAATGGTATTTATCTGAGTTTTCTATAATACAGTGCAGTGGCAAAGGTAAGACTTATTTTTCATCTTGTAGCGCAGCTTTTTGAGTAAATGATAAATTCTTGTCATTCACATTCAGTCTACTCTCAAAAGCAAGAGTTTAATGACCAAAAGAAGTTTTCCATAATACAGTCCAGTGGCAAAGGTAAGACTTATATTTCAAATGATTTATTCTTGTCAATCACATTCAGTCTATTCTCAAAAGCAAGAGTGTTAATGTCCAAAAGAAATTTTGATCATTCAAGCAGATTTGATTATTGAAGAACTTGTGTAGGTAATAATAAATCCCCTGGTTGCGAGTACGGCTATAATCGCTTTGTTGGAAACTGATTTTGGTCTAGGATATTACTGGTAATTCATTTCAGTGAGATTAGATTAGTCTATCTATACTGTCAAATAGAATAGTAAGCTACAGGCGGCATAAATCAAGACAGTCCTCTGCTATGGCATAAAAATGTTTTAGCAGCAAAACTAATTGAAATATTGCAAAACTAAAAATAGTGGCATAAGCTTCAACATTTTTCTTATCTATGTAGCACAAAGGAAGGTAAGAAATCATACATTTATTAGCTCTAAGCCTCTAAAAAATCCCTGAAAAAAATGTTGGAAAGTGAATTTTGAAAAGGTAATTCTGCTAAGGTCTGTAGTAAAAAGAATATGGTTGTTTGGTTAACCATATTCATAAGCCACAAGTCCCACAACTGTCATGAATAATTTCATAATCATACTAATACTAGCATTCATAGTATACTTTACTATACTTTACAATTTAAGAAATTAAAATATTAACCTCTCTTATAACTTACCAAACTTCTTGCCTCTGGGTCCCAGGCCAGTGAGGCCTATGATTGGGTACCTATAATGGCATACAGGCATAGTACAATGGTACAAATACTGAAATAGCATAGACTACAGCCAATTTAGCTAGGTATATCTAAAATCATAGGGTAAAATAGGGCAGGTAATACAAATTAAAAAATGAAACTATTTTTAGATAATCTCTCCTATGCTACTATAATAATTTATTACATCATCCAGTTTTCTTCTGTTATGAAAAAGTTTATATCATATATGTATACAATTCCTGAATTCCAAATCAAATGCGCATACCAATATGATACCATTTACCAACATAGGGGCCAGGAATTACAGGTGCAAATTATTAGCAAATACTGGACTACCTACAGGCACAAGTACCATAGTCTGTACAGTGTACATCTGTACAACGAGTCAACTAGGTTAACAACGTACAAATGTACAATACTACCGATATCAAGATAACGGGTGTAACTGTAAGTCTGTAACTTTTAAGGTCTGCCTTTTGCTGATTTAGAATTAGAAATAGTCGTGTAGAATAAAAAAGAAAACTTAAAGATAAGGTAAAGTTACAGATCGGAATAGATCATAAAAGGCCGAAATAAAATTCAAACACAGTACAATATACTTACGTAGGGATGTTTTGAGCTACACGGAAAAATCGACTAGGAAGCCGATCCAATCCGAGCGAATTCTAGGAATCGGCGCAGCCTCGCAGGGTGCGCCTGATTGACGTTTATACTCTTTCTTTCACAACGTTACAATCCAAACTAAGGTGTTCATTGTAAATTTTTTTCAATAAAGTGGGCCAACTTGTTGAAAATTCAAGAAGTGTATGAAACAAATACTAATCTGCGCTATTTTATTGAGCATCGGACGGTCCGCCACACGACGTCTCCCAACGAAAAGACTTATCGCACTGAAACATTATAGGGTATTAATTCCTAACTGGACACAGAAAACTCCCTACTAGAGTGGTACATGTACATATGGGAGATAAGGAATTGCACAACTGAGGCTGAAAGTATTTTAGATGGAGAAGCTGGATTAAAATCTTATTCGTGACAGTTCGAGATACGATTCATGTAGGTTATGCTACTGGAATATTGGAAGTATCGGCGAGAATGTAGCTACCTCCGACGAGGCTTATGATAGAACGACTTTCTCAATTACCCTCAATCAGGGAAATTACAGCTTAACTGGTCGTTATTGCACCACTTCATTGGCCACTCTTACGTTTAATTGGATTGTTTCAAAGTTAACTGAAAGGGGCAAAATATGCGGGCATTTTTCAATCGCAGTGGCGTGCCACAAGGAAGCGTCCTGGGGCCTATTTTGTTCGTTGCTTTTATAAATGATCTGCCAGAAGTAGTATCCAGCGTGTGCTCCATGTATGCCGACGACACAAAAGTTTATAATACAGTGAAGAATGCGTCAAATAAAGCGCAATTGCAAGATGATCTTGACAGCTTAGTTAACTGGGCTGATACGTGGCAGCTG